TCCACATGAATATACTTTCTTGCTGAGGAAGTGCCTTATATGCAAGGTAAAGTTTTTCCAAATAGAATTTATTTTCCTCTCCAGGGGACCATGCATTCTGGGCTAAGAAAGTGGAAAAAAAAAAAAAAAGGCACTGAATTGCCATTATATTTTAAGTTTGGAGATGGAAAAAGTCAAAATCATGAAGAGAAAAGCTATGAAATATTTAGAAATTTTTTGGATTTTACACTCAGAAACAAAATATCTTTTGTGCCCTCCCAGTCCGAGAGAGGACAAAAAGGCCTGAAAAGAGAAAGAGTTAGTTTGGGGTTGTTTGTTGTTGTGTTTGTTTTTTTCTTCTTTCCTATTGAAACAGAGGAATACATTTTGATAGCAGGTTGGGTTTGGTTTGTTTGGTTTTGTTGGGGTTTGTGGTTTGGTTTTTTTTTTTTTCCCTTGTTTGGGTTTTTTGTGTGTTGCTTTTCTGTTGTTTGTTTGTAGCATATATTAAACATGTGAATCTGTAAACAGTAGGGACTTCAACATCAACAACATCATAATCATTCTTCTGAGGGCTTGACTTTGTTATGGGAATGAGCTGAAGCCCAGCCAAGTGCTGCTCCTGCCCTGGCACCCATGTAAGTGTGTGGCTCCAACTCAGGGAGGTAGGGTGGGGAGAGCAAGGGCTGGCTGCCTGCCAGTGGTGGGAGGCTGCAGGCAGCATCCCTACTACTCTTTTCTGTCGAGTTTTATTATAAGGCTGCCTTTAAGGCAATCCAGAAAAGCTGGTACTTTTCCAGATGTATCCAAGTTTTCCAAAAGCTAGGATGGGCACCAAGGGTCAGCTCCCTGATGATAGCAGGGGCACACCAAAGCATCATTTTGAATCATTTGAATGATTTCATGTGATAAAGTACTAATTTGTGTAGCTCATGAAGCCCTCGGCACTTTCACTGTTTGTTCATGCTGAGGCTCTCAGGTATTTCTATGGAAGTTCAAAGCCCCATACTCTAGGAGCAATTTGTCAAGGTTTCAGTCCTTGGTGTAGCTGAGTGCATTTCTGGTCAGACTGAAGGCCATGAAAACTGGACTATTAATTTGGTAGCTGTAAGAGATGACAGTTGGGACAGGATTTCATACTGTTTTCCAGCATCCTACCTTGGAGTGGTGTGAGGTTAATGTTTAAGTTCTGTTCTTTCCCAAGGACAAAGCAATTTTGTCTTTCCGGGTTACCCACCAGGAGTTCCCTGTGTCGCTGGTATTCCTGGAGAAGCTGTCAGGACTGATGCTGGCTTTCTTACTGTAAGTCTCTAATTTAGGCTCTATAACCTCAAATTCAGCATCAAATTCATCTGCTGCTTCAAGGTATATAATGTGATCCAAGCTGAACTGCAGTGAAAACCTTGCTGCAAAGGTATTCAAAGCTGTGGGATCTAACTGTTGTGCTCTCTGGGCAAGGAGCTTTATTTGATGTCATCCGAAATCCCTTGTGTTCCAGAATGATGCTACTTATTATAGCCTACTTGACACTGCGATCATTAGATTTTTAGATAAGCTTTTTCCGTTCTTTTGAAAACATCATACATATTTGTTTCTACTCATCTCTCAAACAGGATAGTCTTCATAGGTAACTAGTACTTGTCTGGAAGTACTCCCAGGCCTTGTGGAGTAGGAATGGATAATGAAAGAAAAGGATAGCAGCAGCCTAGAGATGCAAATATCAAAAGTGCATTTTGCTACCACAGATCCATTATTTAGACCCTCTGACAGAACAGAACCATTCTTTGCTTTGTTTTATTATTCTGTCCTGAAAAGAAGACTTGCATACTGCATCTCATTAGGTTTTATCTGCACCTGTACAACTGTACATGTAATGATATCCAAAGGCTTCTGAAGAATGAAAGACAGGGCTTTCAACAGTATGAACAGAAGTTTGAAAGACCCTAATGCTTTTTTTTTAAGCTCAATTTATCATGTTTATTGAATGATGTGGGAGACAAAACCATTGAAGAGACTAACAGGAGATTTCAGTATTAGATTTAAAACCTAAGAAAATACTTTGTTATTCACTGTGATGTGTTAGAAAAAGTCCTAGACTGTAATTTTTTAATACAATCTCAATATTAAAGATTCATTAATATGTAACTGAAAATGAATTACAGTGAAAATACAGACCACGTGTTTGTAGACAATAGGACATCCATGTGAATCTTAACAGTGACATTTAAAGAAATGTCTCCACAAGCCAATCTTCTAAAATATATCTCACCTGTTTTTCTGGCATGTTTTATGATTATCATTAACAAGCATTGTGTAAATCTAAAATGACCCTTGTAAAATCAGGCATTATGGTTTAATATATATGGCTGTGCAAAAATAACAGAAGATCGGTAAAGAGGATTGTAAACATGCTCAAGTGATTTGCAGCTGGGATGTAGAAAAACATACATACTGATCGCTGTTTAGTCGTCCGTGTTTGGATAACATAGGCCAACATTGGGACGCACCCTACTGAACACACTTGAGATTCCTGCCCAGCTGTGGGAAAAATTAAAGCACAGTGTTAAACCACTGTGTGGATCCCTGATACACAGGCCAACACAGCAGGCTCAGTGATCCTTTAGCATGGACCAAGCTCTGTGGTGCATGTGTCCTCGCTTGTGTGCCTCTGCCTGTGTTCTGCTTTGGGGACAGCCTGCCTGTTCAGGTAATGAAATTTATTGTTTGCATTTCCTCCATGGTTTTGTAGCTGTTCCTGCATCCTATCTGTGCCAGCTCACGCAATGGCTTATCTACGTAACACTGCTGTTAACTGCATGTTTTCATCATCTTTAACCTGAAAATACATGGAATATTGGTGTGGTTTAAGCCCAGCTGGTAACTCAGGACCAAGCAGACACTCTCTCACTCCCCTGCTCTGGGCAGGATGGGGAGGAGAATCAAAATAACTGTTACAGCTGAACCCAGGACAAATATACAACACATTTTGTAATAAAAGAGCTGCCTTCTTAAAAGGTTGAGCTGAAAGTGAGGGATTTAATGCTCCCCTGTCTTAATCTTGCATGATTCAACAGCAAATCCACCAACAAATGTGGCACTTTGAGATATAATAGGTTTGGGGTTTTTTTTCTTAATATATTTAGGGTATGCTTTATTTAACAGAAAACCTGATGAGCCTTTGCTTTAGAGTGATAATCTGGGCCAAACATTTCAGTTGCTTTTACATGAAAGACCTTAGCAGTTCTACAGATACTCTCTTTATGGACCTCTCATTCTTTATCCTAAATGGGGTTGCTAATAGATTAAGGATGGCGAGTGTCTCTGCAGTGTCTATATGAAAACAGGAAAGTACAATAAAACTGGGACCATGCACAGAATGTACTTGTATACAGTTCAGTTTGAAATTAAAATGCTTCTGTCTTTCTTGGGCTTCACTGTGTACAATTAAATTTGTTATCGAAGGAGTAAACAAATGAATGGTGCCCCTCATTCCTTACTCCAGCCTGTAACCATCACATATGCCTGGATTCTGCATCATGAAACTGTTCCTTTCTGTAAGTCTCATTTTTGGGGTACCTATCTAGTGTAAAATGTCTTTCAAATAAATAAATAAAATCTTCAGAAGTTTTACACAACTTTTAGAAACCTTTGCAGACTTGTGTTTCTTCAAGCAGTATGAATGCACTGCACTGTCCATACTCTAGTACCATAGTTAAGTACTAATGCAGTGCCAGATATTAGAATGAACCAAAGGTAAGGTAACAATTTCTTCACCTGTATTTTCAATCTTTCAGAAATAGCCCATCAGGGTAAACACTAAGGATTTTAGTGTTTGGTTTTGGTGGGTTGTTTTTTTTTTTTTCTTCAATTGGCAGGTCAAAGGAGGTGATCCTGCCCCTCTACACTACTCTCGTGAGACCTCACTTGGTATTGTGTGCAGTTCTGGTGTCCTCAACATAAAAGGACATGGAACTGTTGGAACAAGTCCAGAGGAGGGCCACCAGGATGATCAGGGGACTGGAGCACCTCCCCTATGAAGACAGGGTGAGAAAGCTGGGGCTGTTCAGCCTGGAAAAGGCTGCGTGGAGACCTCATAGCAGCCTTCCAGTATCTGAAGGGGGGCTACAGGGATGCTGGGGAGGGACTCTTCATTAGGGACTGTAGTGCTAGGACAAGGGGTAATGGGTTAAAAAACAGGGGAAGTTTAGATTGGCTATAAGGAGGAAGTTCTTTACTGTAAGGGTGGTGAGGCACTGGAATAGGTTGCCCAAGGAAGTTGTGAATGCTCCATCCCTGATGGCGTTCAAGGCCAGGTTGGACAAAGCCTTGGGTGACATGGTTTAGTGTGAGGTGTCCCTGCCCATGGCAGAGGGGGTTGGAACTTGATGAACTTAAGGTCCTTTCCAACCCTAACTATTCTATGATTCTGTGATTTCACAGAAACTAGCTATCTTTGCTGAACATTTAGCTGACAGGGGAAGCTTTATCTGAAGGCAAAGATGAGTGTAAAAATAACAGGAAACCTAAGATACATACTTTCAAATTATTTTTTAGGTTATATTCTACTGTGAATAATAATTTGACATACATCTCAAAGACAGCAGTTACATGGTAAAGTGTGAACTGCCTCCTTAATGGAAGAACACCAACGCTATTTCATTTGTAGCAGTTATACTGCAAGAGACATTGCTACCTCCTAGAACTAGTGCATCGCTCAGTTTTAAACAAATATTTGACCTTCCATTCCACTCCCGTAGCAAAACAGCGGTTAACCGAGAAAGCGGCGTTCACGTACACAGCGTCCAGCGCGGCAGAGCCCCGGTCCGAGGGACATCCCAGCCCCCTTTCCCGCGGTTTATAAGCACGATTCCTCCACTGGAGACAAAAGACCGCCCAGTGCTCCCACCCTGCGCTTCCCGGACGGGTGTTGGTGGCCCGGCCCCCCCAGTGCGGCCTCCCTCAGGGCGGCCCTGGGCAGCTCCCGCCCAGTGGCGCTGGGGTTCCGGAGACGCTCTGACGGGACGGGGACCGGTGGAGCGGAGTGGGGCTCGGCCGTAGCGGGGCCAGCACGGCTGGAAGCGCGGTTCGGTGCCGGAGCGGCTCCTCGGCTTTGGGAACGGGTATTCTTTCTGTGGATGTAAGTGTCTTTACCGTGTGCGATTTCTTCTCGGTGGTCTTTCTCGGTGGTCCAGTTAGAAAATCTGTCTTCAGCGAAGTAACTGGCTTCTGAAGAAATGGTTTAAGAAATTATCTTGTTGCCGGGGCTGTGCTCAAGAGAGCTGGCAGCAGCAGGCATGGCTGGGGCAATGGTGGCCGTGTCATCCAGAAGTGAAAGAACAGCGTTAGGCATGTGCCCTCATGTCCCTGAGGCTGGGGACCTAGACCATGACCTGTTTTTTTGGCCCTTGGGTGTTGGCACTCGCAGGTTGCAGGAGAGATGGCAATGTCAGAGGAAAGAGGGTGCCCTGTTGCATCAGAAGAAAATAATTTAATGCCAATGAGTATCTCATTTAATTCCTTCTCTGAAGGCTGTTTTGTTAACTTTAGCAGAAAATAACCTGTTTAATTAGATTAACTAAATTGTCTTAAAGTATACTGTGTCTGCGGTAGCCGAGGCTAAAATCCAGTGGCTGAATAGTCTAATATAATGATGAAAGGAAGTGCCACAAAGCTAGCTAGCGTGAACTAATGCATGCCTTACAGCTGTTCAGCTTCTGTTTTGTTTTTTTTTTTTTTAATCATCAACTTTCTTGGAAATGGCCTGGCTTGGTATTTAAATGGCACCATGCTTCATGTTTGTGCTTGAGGGCTTATGTTAGTATGCTCTTGGCAGTATTTCAGCGAGCTGGAGAGGAATCGAAACTGATTGTCATGCTAGTAGACTGTTTTTCTAATAAAACCCGGAAGCTTTGTAGTTAACTGAATTAAGATCTCTCTAAATGACTTACAGTTTACCTACTGATATGTATCAGAATAAAGAATACGCGTAATGCGGTTCTGAAAATAGAAAGTGACTGAAAAGGAACATAGGTATTCTTTCATTCCTTAAAAAAGAGCAAGCTAGGAATGTATTTCCTTAGTTTTCTCTGAACCAGAACAGTATTGTTCTGACTTCCTTTGGAACTTTTCTTGTATTCCTTCCCAAAAGTTTTTGGCTGTCCTTGAGTGTCCTGATTCAAAACTCCTGGAGGGGAAAAACCACTATACCTGGACACCTGGATGCTCTGCTTCTGCGTTACCCATTTGAGTAATGATTCAAGAAAGTAGAGAGTGAGGAGCTGGTGGGGGTATGCTGGCACTGGGTTAGAGGGTTTAGCAGCAATTGACTGCTACTTCTGAGAGCAAAGGGAAGAAGTCTGGAGAACTCCTACGGATGAGGAGGAAGGCTGACAATATGGGTTCTGGGTAGTACAGTGTATAAGGTCAAGGCGTGAAGAATGAGAATTCTTGATATGAATTCCTTTCTCTTGTGAGCGTTACAGCAGATGAGGTTTGGGGATCTGCTGTCAGCTTGATAACCCATGGCTCAAGGGTTGCTCTTGGCAGTCAAAGCACTGCTGGGGGCAGATGTGTGTGTTCTTTTGCTTTTCATTTCCTCTCTCCATCAGTCATGCTTCAGGGTTCAAGTAGTGTGTTTCAGGAGAGCCAGCTGGCAGCCCCTGCCCTTCCCACTCTTAGTGTACAGGCGCAGTGGGGGTACCTCAGACCGTCCAGACTGTTTCATAAGGGTCATTCCCTATCAAGACAGCTGCTGTCCATGAAGCGTTTCCCTGGTGCTTCCCTTCAGCCAGCAAAATCACTTCTCCTTTTCCCTGTGTAAAGCTGAACCAAAGTATCTTTATATCTTATCTGTACTCCCTTTGGGAGCATGGGCCCAGAGCTATAAGTTACTACAGGAATCTGTCAGGCTTTTCCTGGCACAGGTTCTCTTGCATAGCCTTAAACATGATGGCCCCCGCAAGGGCCTGAGGTGATGGGAGCTGGAGCCTGGACCCCATTATCCTCCCTTGCCCTTTAGCACTTCAGCTGGGGGATTTTGGTGAATGTTTGATCAGCAAATATCTCAAGTAATGTAATAAAATGTGAAGGACCCTTATAATCCTAGCATAATCTGGGTTGGAAAGGATAACCTTTGGAGGTTGTTTGGTCCATTCCTCTGCTTAAAGCCAGCCTAAATTCACATGTAGGTCAGATTGCTCAGCGCCTTGCAAAGATTTTTATCAAGTGTATGCAAAGATTCAGAGCTGCTTCTTGGACACCATGTCCAGCTTATTCACCACAACACAATTTACTCTCGATTTATGTTGTAAATCCGGGTTGCAGCACGTGGCCAGTGTAGTGAGAGGGATTCATGCAGCTACTGTTTTATCAAGCCAGAGTTAATTCAGTAATGAATTTTTACTTGCTGAAGCACTTTTTTTTCCTTTTTTCTTTAGTTCTATGGAGTTTTAACTCCATTACAAAGAAATAGTATTCTCCCTCTTTTGCGTTAGTGGGAGCTTAATGCAAATACCTTTACTTTTCCTTGCAAAGTAATGTTTCAGTGATTGTTCCCTATATTTAAAACTGTTACTAGAACTAGTAACACCTAGCAGCTTGTAAAGCCTTATTTTATTAAACTGAAATGAAAATGTAGTCTTTTTTGCTTTGTGTAACCCAGGTAGCTGGAACCAACTCATTTGTAAGTGACTGGTCTTTTAGTTACTGCTGTTTCTTGACTGAGGTTTCACCATGTGAGAATTTCCCCATGCATAGCGACATCATTGAACAATATATTGTGCAACGTACAGTTGACAAAAGTGAGGTTTTGTTCCTCGTTCCTTTGGTATTTCACAATTTCATGTTATTTCACAATCTTCATAAATTATTCAGATGAAAAACAAGGCATGAATGGCAATGTACTAATCTTGGTGACTGAGTTGGCTGTGATAGAAGGAGTCTACATAAAAAGCTATAGAAGAAGAAAGACAGTTTTAGTAAAAGACATAATCTTAACTGTTCTTAACATAATGTCTGATGAAACAGGAGTTGAACTTTGTAAAATGTAAAATCTTTATTACTTTTCTTGCCATAGAGCCTATCACCATTTTCTAAATTCTAGGTTGTGCAGTGGCATCTATGTGTGGTTGTAGGGAGAAGAAAGATTCTGGGCTATTGTAAAGCCTTTCTTATAAACAAATTATATGATATGGTCTCTACCGTTCTTTTATCAAAGGGTTCAGTTTGAATTCTCAGTATTTCACTAAAGTTCAGGTAGCTGGAACATCTCACAGTATAAACTGAGCTTTTACTAGTTTAAATTATGTTTATTATTCATCTTTAATTTGTGCTATTCCTACAAGCTGGTAGTTTTCTCAACATATTTTAATATGGCCATATATTAAACTTGTCAGTTTATATTAGCTGCAAGAACAAGGTTTGAAAAAGGAACACTTTAAGACCAATACACTAAACAAAGAGGATGTTGTGTGCAAGTTGGGATGTGAGAGAGATGCTGTGTCATCCCAGAACCATTAAACATCCTAGTGTGATATCTGCTTTTACTCCAGGAGTAAAAAGCAGGAAGGAACTGTTTTCAGTTTCAGTTTCCTTCCCAGCTTTGAATGGCCATCTTCACCAAACTGAACTAGTTGGAAGAGTCATTAACAGACAAAATATATTGCTAGTTTAACTTGAAATGCATTCTGTCTAACGAATAACTAGGTTTATCATTTGTTACAAAGCTTTCAATCTTATAAAAAGGAGCTCCTATGCTGTTCTTTTCTGTACGTCCACTTGTGGCTCCCCTGTCTGGTTTGGACCATTGTCTTCAATAGAAGTTGCTGCCGTTGTTTTCCTTCTCTCATTACTCTAGAGGCAAAAAGGAGTATCTCTTAAGGTTAATGCTGGCATCAGTAAATGTTCTTTCTGCCTTTTTTTAACTCCTTTTGACAATTATGGAAAGGTATAAGGAAAAAGACAAGCAGTTGTCCCTTTCACTCATGCTGTTCGGCTGTGGAATCCCACTCCCCTGTGCAAACCCATTATTATCATGTTAAGACAAATATTGGATACATGATATTTAGTAGTACCACTTCAGAAGTGGAATAGCATAAAGAACTGAATAGGTGACAGGATGGCATCAGGGCTGCTCCAGGATTTACCCAAGCAGGTTTTATAGTCAACATCAATATACTAAACCAGTTGCTGCAAAATTACTGCAGTAATTTGTTCATATGAATTGCATGATGTTTCTGAATGGCTGCACAATGAAGTCTTGTAGTGCAGTGAAATAACTGCACATAGAGATGCTTTCCTCTGACTTAATAATTTCAGGATACTCAAAGCATGAATACAGGCATAGATAATTCAGACTTACGGTGTGGTGGAGACATAGCCTAGAAGGAAGCAGAGATACTTGCATTTGTAATTCAGTTTTCCTGTACAGTTTAGACAGGCAAGTATCTTTTAGCAATAATAGAGAACTTTGAATAACTCTTATGTAAAATTATATGTATGTATTAACCCCCCCCCCTTTTTCTTTTTTTTTTTGCAGAACTTCTATAAGCACATCCATGGCAATGCAAGGTGAGTAAAATATAAACCATCTTTTCTTAATATCAAAATATTATGGGTCTTTCCATAGTGTTCAAGCAATATTAGCTTAGCTATTAGTTTACTTACCTTCTATTTTTGTGAAATATGTATGAATTTTTGTTCAATATGTTTTGAATTGAAATTATTTACATTTTGAAATTTAATTATTTCCAAAATATAGCTTACATTTTCAGATCGTGATTTCTAAAGTTAAATAAAACAAATAAATCATCTTGAAATTCAAGTTATTTCTGCTTACAAAATGAACTTAGTAAATGTTTTAAATGCATAACCCTCTGAGTCTGCCGGTGAGGCATTAGTGTAACCTGAAGAAATTGGTGGAAAATGCTTTATATAATGAAGAATGACTCACTGCCAGTCAGTTCTGTACAGGAGGGCAGCCAGTCAGTTCCCTGGCAATTCTTTGTATTAAAGCCTGCTTCTAAATATAGATGAACAAAGGCACCTTTGGTCCAGACAGTGAACTGACCCTGCTTGGACTAGGTGATCTCAAGAGGTCCTTTCTGAGCTAAATGATCCTGTGATTCTGTGACATCTTTATGACATCATGTGCAATACCTGCTTTTATTCTGCACGTTAAGGATGAGAACTCCTTTAAGTTCTTAAACATTATACTGATGTTTAATATACGTATTGTGCACAAATACGAACTTGTTATGCAGGTTTTGCTATACAGAAAGCCGCTGCTTAATTTTGTTACATCTAGTCTGAAAAAGGAGGCAGTGTTGGGGATTTTTCACTGTAGGGCAGGAGGAAATAGGCAGTACTCAGAGTTTATGTTCCATTCTTCCAGCACATAAACCTGACCTAGCACCTGGATTTTCAAACATTAACCACGTGCCAGGATATCAAGTCCCCTATGGCTACCCTCAACATGCACCTGGGACTTACCAAGGTAGGTTGCTTGTCTACAGATCTGAAAATAGGGACAGGAAATGTGAGATTTCATTTCACCAGGGTGACCATCTCTGATTTCCTTTTCTGCTGTTAACTTTGTAGAGTTTCTGTTAATTTCTGTTTTACTAAAAAATCATCTTTTCCTTCGTGGTGCTGAGCAGTACCAGCAGTGGTAGGAGTTAAATATGTTGGATGTTCCTCAGTGGTTACTGTGTGGAGTTTGTTACGGTGGTATTACTTATGCAAAGCAATTAATATGTGGCAGCTTCTTGCTGATTATCAGATTTTTTAATTAATATGCTATTTCAGTATTTCACTTTACTTTTCTCTAGAAATCCAGAACTGAAGAAAGAATGGTTTTCCTCTCACCTGTTCTGCTGATCCATGTATTTTGTGCCTGTTTCCTACCCAATTGCTGTACTTTGCATGTGGTTATACCTTGCACTGATTTGCTTTTCTCCTCTCATATTTCATTTCCTGCTCCCCACCCATTCAAAATGCAACACTTCTAAATAGCTTCTCATGTTCTGGCAACTAATTGCTTTCTGAAGAACCAGGTCTAACAATCAGACTCAAAGCATAAGTTGTAGATAAAATGCAAACCGTTTGGCCTGAGTTACTGTGCTGTTCATAAGTTAAAGCTTGTGCATGTTGTGGCAGAGCAGTCAGAGGTCTAAAAGTACAGTTAGCTTCAGCAGGGAATGAGCATGTGCTGCCTGTGTGATGGAGGTCAGGGGAGCATGCATATACTTATTCATGACAGCAGTAGATAATTCATCTGCGAAGCCTGTGCTCAGACATAAAAGTGATTCTGTATTCCGTAAGGGTGAATCCTTCTCTAGAGTGGGGGCCCCTGCCACCTACGAATTTTAAGCTACAGCTGTTTACATCACTTGAGGTACTATCCCATTAACGGCTACGGTGTGAGCTTTCATGTGTAACAGTCCATGTATTGGAATGTAAAGGAAAAAACTGATGCTGAACAGATTTGGGCTAAAATCTACAAGTCAGTATCTCGAGCTATAAATAATCAAGTAAAATATATATTTCCTTTCTATCAGAGTGAAAACCTACAGCCTACCAGGGAAGTACTAAGTGAGGGGAAAAATACAGTTATTGTTCTGTAACTTCAACATCAACTTCAGCTACAAAGGCTCTGTTGCTGCAAGCAAGGCAGGGCTCTGCGCTCAGCCAGGGATGTGGGGTAGGCTGTGAGCACCAAGGCAATACTGCGTGTGTCATCTGGTAGGGTGATGAGCATTTAGACCCTGAAGTGCTTCATGAGAGCTTGTGTTTTCTATTGAGTGGCAACTGGAGAAGATTTACTTGGCATTCACAAAATGTAGAACTATTTCCTCCTTTACTGTGCACCTCCTCCATGAAGGAGTTGTGGATTTCCTGAGTTTTGAAAGAGAATGGGAAAGTGCTGGTTTTAGATCACATTTATTTGGTTTGAAAACTGCAGATGAACTTTCTAAAAGGACATTTCCTATCACATAAGTAGAAGGTATGCTTCCAGGAACACTTTGTCTGAAAATTCCCCATTTGCTCAACTGACAACTTGTAAATGCTCATACTTTTAATCTATTTTAAGGTTTCTGTCTTCTTTATTTAGAAATAACCTTCATTTGTTTATTTCTAATTTTTGAATTGCCTATCTTTATGTGAATAAAATTTCTGCTATATATGAATATATATGAATATATATGAATAATGATTCATTTACTGATTTTATTTGGTTTTGTATGGAGGGATTAGAACATCCATATCCAGTGTAACTTCTTTGCACAAGGATCTTTGTAGGCCAAAATAGCGAATACATTCATCTTTTGGAGATGCATGGGGCAATTCTTTTCTAACATCTAACTTTAACAACTGCATCTCTCCTACCACACCAGGTGTTTCAGGTGCAGGGAGCTATGGCTTTCAGGTACAGCCCATGAGAGTCCCAGCTGAACTTGCTGTTCCACCCATACAGAACCAGCCCATTGTGAAGGAGGGGACAATCTGGATGCCTGTCCCTCCTCCTCTTCCCAACTGCCCTCCTGGACTGCAATACCTCACTCAGGTACCTGCACCCTTCCTTATTCCCCAGAGAGCAGGCATTCACCTGGGAAGCAGCCTGCATCTGTGAAAAAGCTAAAAAAACTATATGGCTTTGTTACAGCTCTGTGGGTTGCTACTTTTGGGCTGCTAAGTGAAGCCTTTTGTAATGGAATTGATGCATGTTTCAGTGTGGAGATGCCTGTTATGGTTGCAGCACTTCATGCAGTACTCTTCTGTCAAGTGAGATGCGAAATTACTAGGAGCACAGGGCTATCACAGAACTTTCCTATTTCTGGAGATACTGTTTGTGAGATGTAATGAGATTTGGCAAAGTGTCTATAATAAGTATATATAATATGTGCACCTGTAGCACATTAAAAGTGCTTAGTTTTCTACATGGTGCTTGCTTCACACCTCCTCATAATGTTGTTAGCAGAGATACTAGTCAGACTTCACAACATAGGGAATGCTAATAGCAAAATAAGAACAGTTTTCAAATTGCAGAATATGTCCTTGTACTGTAAAAATACAGTTTATCTTATTTCTGGGAGCAAATATCAAGGCTTAACACTGATAGATTTTTGCCAAATCTGCAAATTGCTAAAAAAAAAAAAAAGAAAAAAAAAGAAAAAGGCACCAGTGAGGGAAGGCCATGAGGCCATGTATCCTGAGTTTCCCTGTATCCTGAGGTTTCATGTATCCTGAGTTTCCCTGTATCCTGAGTTTCTCTCAGAGCTGAACAGTAGCTTTAAAATTTCTTATTTTCCTGCTTTTGTCTGTATGGACTCCTAGTATAAGCAGCTGGGATATGAGGTGTCAGAGGCTCTCTCGGGCTTTGTAAGTGAGCCAGCCTGAGACCTAATGTGCTTGTAACTAGCCCAACTTGGGAACAACTGTCATCTGCTCCAGTGCCCTGAAACACTGTTCTGCTAATTTGGCAGAGGACAGGATGGGATACAAGAGCTACTTGCACACTTTACCAGTAGATGATCTGCCTCTAGGCAATATATTGACCCAAAAATCTGAATTCTGAAATGAAACAGTAATGCTTCTTGAAACTAGGTTTCTCTTATTTACAACTTGTTAACTATTTATTCTGTTTAATTTTTTTAACTATTAACAGATTGACCAGATATTAATTCATCAACAAATTGAACTTCTTGAGAGTAAGTGCAAAGTATTTATGGCAGAGAAGTGTTTAAATCAAATAATCCCATGAAATGATAAAATTTAGACTTTGATACTATCTTTTTAAGGTGGATCACAACCTTTCTCTTTCCTGCCTCTGTTATCTGTCTCAGTTTCTGCAGAAGTTGTGGAGGAGAGAAACAAGAAGATAGGAGGGCAGGGGATTTTAAGCTGGTTCTGTTTCTCTAAAGATACATAGCAATGTGACTGAATAATCTTGGTAGATAGTTAAAGCTGAAGTTCCGTTTCCCATGTTATTAATCCACATGATTTCTACTTGCTTCTCTTCCCTGCTTAAAAATGTTATTTTCTGTCCTTTCTTATTCCGTCTAACTCTATAGACTGGCATGAAGCTCTAGTCTAGTTTCCAGGAAATCCTGCTGTTTTAGTGAATTGAACTGCTTTCCTTCTACTACCCTTATTCTGTTCACTTTAAGAATATCAAAGTCATGTTATCAGTGTCTTTCAAATGGAAGAAATAAAATAGAACATCCATCTCAGTTGATGCCTACTGTTGCTGCCTTTTCTTTCCATAGTGCTTCAAAGGGTGCTTTCATTTTTTTAGAGAAATTAATCAGAATTTCTGTCCTGGCTCTTGTTGTTTTCCATTTGTGCTGCTGTGAATCTTGACTGTGAGGCTTTTTTTTATGGCCTTTTCATTTGAATGTTGTTGCTTCACCAAATTCACAAGTTTTCTTTTTAATTTTCATCCCTTCAGCTCTTCCTTCCCTGTGAATTTTCCATGCTGTGTTATTTATATAATTGTGGTGCTTGCTCTGGCAGTAAGTGTCCCTGTCTGGTGGGAGGAGACTAATGGACATCTCTACAATTTCTGCCTTGTCATGTGCATGGTAGCTTCTCTTCTCTGAACTTCTCTGTCAGGCTTCACTGCTTAAAGGTCCTTCACCACTTCATTTTGCCAGTAGCTTCCTCTGACAGACTTTGAGGGAGGCCTGCCTTCCCAAAGGGTAGCTTTAGAGTTAGCATGGTGACTTTTCTGACCAGATGCACCTCAGAAATTTAACTATTCTGTTCCTGTTTTTCAGTTTTGACTGGCTTTGAAACAAACAACAAATATGAAATCAAGAATACGCTGGGGCAAAGGGTGTACTTTGCAGCTGAGGACACTGACTGCTGTACCAGGAATTGCTGTGGGCCATCACGACCCTTCACCATTCGGATTATAGACAACCTGGGCCATGAGGTGATAACATTGCAGAGACCCCTCCGGTGTTCTTCATGCTGCTTTCCCTGCTGCTTACAGGAGGTGAGTTGCTCCCTCTCACTTTCTTCCTTCACACAGGAAGTGGTCCATCTGTGCAATTTTTAGATGGGGCTGTCTTGAATTAGGCAAGGTGAAACAAGTCAGTTTTTGCCTGTAAATTGGGGTGGGGGAGAGAGCTGTGGGATTTGCTTATGGGGTCCTTGGTCTGGGAAGAAGCAAGTTTGCTGCAACACTTGGATTCACTCTGGCCATTCTGATTATGGTAATGAAAAATTTGATGAAACAGCTTGTCAGGCAACTTGTGGCCATTACCAAAATCTGTGCTGGAGATGAACTTGCAATGTAAGAGCTAGTCAGTGGCTTTCATAAAGTAACAGCTAGAGTTTTCAATTTACTGCTGCTGTGAAACCTACAGTGAAATTCAACATGATGAGCTTTTTTAATATTAATATAACTATGGGGTGATGCAACTTCTGATGCTTTCAGGATGCTCAGAGCCTTTCTTTGACTTTGATCTTTATACTGGAGATGTATATGAGGTCTGAAATTTGTGTGCAGTTTTTTTGAAAACATTCACAGAAAACCCCATGCAGCTTCATCCATTGGGAAGCCAGATTGTTGTGGAAAAATAAGTTGTGTTTGGTTTGTATGTTATGGTGAGGTTTGTCGAACAAGCTTAACAAAGCATGACTGCTCACTTGGAGGTTTTCTTTTTCCTGTGAAGATGGAAGTTCAGGCACCACCAGGAACACCAGTTGGTTATGTTGTCCAGAACTGGCATGCCTGCCTGCCAAAGTTTACCATTCAAGATGAGAAAAGAATGGATATATTGAAAATTTCTGGCCCATGTGTTGCCTGCAGCTGTTGTGATGACGTTAATTTTGAGGTATGCAAGGCTAAAAGTTGTTTGTACGTATCCTCTTTCAGGTAGTAGTTTGATAGTAGTTTATTGCTTGATTTGTTGCTTGAACTTGTCAACTGAACTGTAATATATATTAAGTAATTAGCACAGAATACTTTAATGCTAGTATAATCAATTCACTTCTCTAGATATGTAGATTACTCTAGATAAACCAGAAAACCTTCCCGAATTGATGTCTTGAAGCCACTCATCAGTGATCAGGGAAACTGATTCCCTGAGGTTGCACACAGATCTCTTAATTTAAATATTTAGCAGTGAAATCTTTTTGAATCTATTGTGTTTGGTCCTAACAAAAGATGTTATTCTCAGCTGTGTCATTGTGTCCAGTTCTGGGCCCCTCAGTTCAAGAAGGACAGGGAATTGCTTAAAAGAGTCCAGCACAGAGCCACAAAGATGATTAAGGGAGTGAAACTTCTCCCTTATGAGGAGGGGCTGAGGGAGCTGGGTCTCTTTAGCTTGGAGAAGAGGAGACTGAGGGGTGACCTCATCAATGTTTACAAATATGTAAAGGGTGAGTGTCAGGATGGTGGAGCTAGGTTTTTTTCAGTGATGTCCAGTGACAGGACAAGGGGCAATGGGTGTAAACTGGAGCACAGGAGGTTCCACGTGAACATCAGGAAAAACTTTACTGTGAGAGTGACAAAGCACTGGAACGGGTTGCCCAGGGGGGTTGTGGAGTCTCCTACGTTGGAGATATTCGAGGCCCGCCTGGCCAAGTTCCTGTGTGATGTACTCTAGGTTACCCTGCTCTTGCAGGGGGGTTGGACTAGATGATCTTTTGAGGTCTATTCCAACCCTTGGGATTCTGTGATTCTGTGACTTCCTACAACCACTCATTTAATAATTTAATAATCACGCACTGACCAAGTAAATCAATATAATTTAGACCTAAAATATAAATTTGAATGACTGAAGACTTACAACTTTCACTTAAAAATAATAGTGACTAATGCATCATTATTTTCATACACATTAATTAGTAGATACACTAGTTTATCATTTTATATTTAAAATGATGTTGCAAATAGTTGCTAAAGCAAATTTAGTATAATTTTATTTTGAAAATTAGATTTTGCAGCTCTGACAACTGCATCTAACTTTAGGAAAGACCAAAGGGCTAATTTCTGTTTTGTAACAGAACAATGTAGTTTGTTTAATTTTCACTCCAGCAGCACCTGATACATGGCAGGAGAAACTAATTTGCTCTCTTGGTTAAAAGACAACACTTGGCAGCAGTGTGTGTACATGTGTGCAGTAGGTGTCTTCCAACACCATTAAAGCATTGAACTCTGTAATTAGATTTAGAATTAAGTTCATGTCTGCGCTACTTAATACTGATATTCTGATAGTCAGGGTTGTTTTTCTGGTACAGTTACGTTCAATGATTGCATTAATTCAAATAACACAGTCTGTAGCTTTCACATGGATCTGTGATGAATGGGATTTGGGAATATTACAAATGACAGATTATATGTTTTTTTTAATTTTATATATAACTAGGTGAAATCTGTGGATGAGACTGTGACTGTTGGAAGGATTTCTAAGCAGTGGACTGGATTTTTGAAAGAAGCCTTTACAGATGCGGATAACTTTGGAATCACATTCCCAATGGACCTTGATGTAAAAATGAAAGCTGTCATGATCGGTGCTTGCTTCCTTATTGTAAGTCTGTCATTCACTGATACTTGAGTATGAACTGCCCTTTTCATTTTTATGTTCAGAATGTACTGTTAAAGAATTTGATTCTGAGCTCCTTGAATTGGGCCATAACTTGTTGTGAAATTGCTATGTGTAGAACTAAACACAGAAGGCAACAAGGAATTATTTCAGATAATAAGCTTGTTCTAGACTACATGAAGTGCTAATTGCATTTAAGAAGAGCTACATATCTGATGGGACTGGGAAACCCTGTAAAGGGAAGACTCCTTATGGAGTCTTTAACATTACATTAATAGAGGAAAGCATGTTTATGTGGATGGTGAAACCATGAAAGTGCACATCAGCAATTGCCAAGAGACCAAACCAGTGCAGCCTGCTGAGCTGGCGAACTGGACAGCTGAATGTGGCAGCTGTTTTCTCCTGGCTCTCCTTCTTGGAAGTGTGTGAATCACTGAGCTGAACAGGATTAAATGCTCTCAGAGGAGTCATTCCCAATGCAAGGGACTTGTGTGGAGGCAAAGCACATCTACCTTGATACAACACTTTTCAGCTGCACTCTGACTCATGTCAAATATTGCAGTGCAGCTCACTTTGCTCTTTGTATATGTATATGTATGAGTGTATTCAATACACATGTTTCCACTTCCCAGTGCAATCTAGCATCAGCATACCATTTCAAAAAGTGCTCTGCTGCTGTGCTGGCAGAGCTGCAGAGGGAGAGGAAAGGGGCATGTGAAGAACCTTGAGTTTGGAGCATTCTCACCAGCCTCTAACAGCTCTATGCATGAAACAGGTTTTCTTACCTGTGTTCATTCATGTGCTACCATGTGCATGAATTACAGTGTTAGTGAGTGCAAGCAACCCAGGACTCCAGACACAGAAACCTGGGCCCCCAGATGTAAACAAAAGATAGTCATCATTATGATGGACTCCACTTTAAGGTAAAATTGAAGGGGCTGAGTGAAGTCTAACAAAGGCAGGGCAGGAATCCTGCTTAAAGGAAGCATAGCTTTGGCTAGTGATAATTTAAAGTTTCCAAGTGGGTCTTCCACTACCTCTTTCTCTCTCTGTGGGTGTCCTATTCTGAGAGACCCAGGTAATGTGGGATGGAGGGAGGTGGCCCCATCATCTTATTTTTGAGGCTTCTGAGAGGAAGGGACTTTGAATACCTTGCAAAGCAATCAGGAGATCTCTGAACTAAGAATCACATTTAAGAAGTGTCTCATTTGCTTTTTGTTGCCTTCTTAGGACTTCATGTTTTTTGAGCATGCTGGTGATAACCAACAGCGAGCAGGAGTTTGGCAATGAAAACTTTTATATAGAAGAAGAACATAAATCTCCCAACTTCCCAGTGGATTTCAGAGCTCCAGTAAGAATGTGAGAAATGTATATCTTGTGCTACTGCAAGTTTATATTTCTATAAACTAAAAGCTTTACATTTTATTGTGGGTTTTTCTTTGTAGTAAATAATTTATAGTATTCAAATAAGAGCACTTTGTACAGATCAAAACAGAAGCTTACAGAAATATATAGCAACTTTTCTTTACAAGAAATTTGGAATTGTAAAATAACTACTTAAAGTTACTTTAATTCATAAAAAAAGAGGACTTCTATATTCATTATTAATATGAGCAGTGAGCCTAATAAAGAGGTGCTGACCTTTTTCTATGTATCCTTCTTTGGTACTTTTGCCTTGGTGTTCATATTCTGTTGTTTCCAATTTCTTACCAAACATACACATTCAAACCAAAGTAAGTTTGATCCAGATGATTCTTGAGGTCCCTTCCAACCTGGTATTCTCTGGTTTTCTGATTCTGTGATCTAAGTGAAGAAAACTATCAGAAATCACTGTAAAATTGTATAGGTGATAAATCTGCTGCCAAATGACTTCTGCAGTGTATGTCAGTTTCATAATTCGGGTTGTTTTGAGACTTCAGGCTTTGGTTTTCATTAATAGAAGTTTAGAGGAGACAGGAACTATAAAAGAAAGAGGAATTCTATTTTCATTTAGTCCATGTATTTCACAGATTGTAAGTCTGTCTGTAGGCATGAGAGTGCAGGAATAATAAACAGAAAAATTCTGCTTCAAAAGCAGATGCATGAAACTAAGCTGGGAGGGGTGGCCGACACGCCAGAAGGCTGTGCTGCCATCCAGAGGGACCTGGACAGGCTGGAGAGCTGGGCGGGGAATAACTTGATGAAATATAACAAGGGAAAGTGTAGAGTTCTGCATCTGGGCAGGAACAACCCCAGGTTCCAGTATAGGCTGGGGAACGACCTGTTAGAGAGCAGTGTAGGGGAGAGGGACCTGGGGGTCCTGGTGGACGACAGGGTGACCATGAGCCGACACTGTGCCCTTGTGGCCAAGAAGGCCAATGGCATCCTGGGTTGTATTAGAAGGGGGGTGGTTAGTAGGTCGAGAGAGGTCCTCCTTCCCCTCTACTCTGCCCTGGTGAGACCTCATCTGGAATATTGTGTCCAGTTCTGGGCCCCTCAGTTTAAAAAGGACAGGGACCTGCTGGAGAGAGTCCAGCGCAGGGCAACTAAGATGATTAAGGGAGTGGAGCATCTCCCTTATGAGGAAAGACTGAGGGAGCTGGGTCTCTATAGTTTGGAGAAGAGGAGATTAAGGGGTGACCTTATTAGTGTATATAAATATATAAAGGGGGAGTGTCACGAGGATGGAGCCAGGCTCTTCTCAGTGGCAAACAATGAAAGGACAAGGGGTAATGGGTACAAAATGGAGCACAAGAGGTTTCACTTAAACCTGAGAAGAAACTTCTCAGTGAGGGTGACGGAACACTGGAACAGGCTGCCCAGGGAGGTTGTGGAATCTCCTTCTTTGGAGACATTCAAAACCCGCCTGGACACGTTCCTGTGTAACCTTATCTAGATGTTCCTGCTCCGGCAGGGGGATTGGACTAGATGATCTTTTGAGGTCCCTTCCAATCTCTAACATACTGTGATACTGTGATACTGTGATAAGATGCTCAAGCTAAGCCTCTTAGATTTGCCAGAATTGTGGTAAGAACCTGAAAGAAGTTCCACAACCTCATATCATAAAAGGACAAAGAGAGCATTGGAAATTTTCCATCAGTTGGGTATCTGGTTAGTTAGCTGATACTGATTACACAGCTCATCAACCTTTTTTTCATGTGAAATGGTTCGCGCTCTGTCATGAAGGTAAAAATATTGCATGAGAAATTCGATCTAAAGCTATCAAGGAGTAACTCTAGTTAACAGTATTGTATCACCTTTGTAATTTATTTCAGTTTTTCCAACGATATTGAATTGGAAAATGCTTATTCCTTAATTTTTCAAGAACTTCTGAGGACAGCTGTATTTACTTGCTCATTTCGGAAACTGATTGTGCTAAAAGCAGAACAGGTCATTTTTTGAGTTGTCTTTCTTCATTTTGAAAGGACCCATAACAGTACCCATATTTACTAAATAACGAGACTCTAGAAATCTCCACTATTTGTCCATCAGACTATAAGCAATACAATGATTTATCCTTCTATCCATAAATCCAGGCTTTGGAAAGTATTAGACGACTCAGCATGCTGCCTGTTATTCAATACCATCTCTGTTAGATGGAGCTGTTACATAAAACCTTTACAGAGTGAGATTTGCAGATGCATTTCTTTAGTTCTGTTAATGACCTTTCCATCTGTATCATCCCTGTAAGGTTTTCATCTCCAGCTGTACAGGAGATGCAGGCACTTAATGAAACCTTAGGGTGTGCAAGCACAGAAAGGTGTAATTTGTATGATATGTCTCAGTAGAAAAGCACAGTTGATTTCAATTTTCAGAAACTAAAATTATAAATGAAAAAAAAGTAATTTACTCCTCCTTTACTCTTATGCGAGATCAGGTTTTTGCTAATTGAGGAGAGAAAATAATTTTAATCACTGGAGCAGAGCAGGAGCGTTGTTTGAAAGTATTGTATGATAGTTGGTCTCCTAAAAATAATTAATCCATATTAGTGAAGTTCATAAAAAGGCCTAATGGGTATTTTGTAGGCCCAAGGGCATCCCTCATGTACCTCATCTTGGTTTTACTAATGAGAATAACTTTGACCAAAAGCTGTCAGTGGGAGCAGGGACCGAAATGTAGCTAATTTAGTGAAGGTGCAGGGGTAACTCATTGGAAATGCTAGGTGTAAAAAGAAAATAAAATCATTTTTCATGGGAATGTGTTACAAAATTGCATTACTTAAGTTTTTGACTAGTGATGTGCATTGCATTACATGAATGCTAACAATTTGGACAGGAATACTTATGAAACTGATAAATGGTAAAGGGTGACGCAGGGAGGAAGTTGTGGAAGCAGAGGGACTTGCAGATAAGGGAATTTCTCAAGTGGAGAATTCTGTTGTGTTGGATCAGGGCTCTATATGTGCTTTCAGGATATATTCATAAATACTATGGATCAGAATCTAGTAGCTCCCTGTCACGTCTCACAGGGAGACTTCCACACATTGCTGATTCTGTTCTGCAGAGTTTATGTTCTGCAGATTCATTTGACCTATCACTTGATTTTGGCTTATTTGCATTGTTTCCCTGATAATACTGTTATTAAAGTGGTATTAAAGTGGTATTAAAGCATTGCAACAAATACCAAAGGGGGATAAGAGACGAGAACAGGTATCTACAACCGTCTTCTGTTTTTCAGCGGGTGGCAATAGGTGGCAGTGTTAGCACAGGAATTATTTTCTCAGTGCTTTAAAACCTTGTGCTGAGGTTCACAGGCAATTCCTTAGTTGTCATTCTGATTTTCTCAGTGGAAGAATTTCAGATTACAATATCTCCCAGGGTATGTATTCCCTAAATGAGTGTGGAGAGTTAGATGTATCTTTCCCACCAAAGCTGCAAAATCTTAAGCTTCAAATGCAATTACGTGCCACTAGGAAAATTGAAAAATGTTTGTGAAAGTATGGTTAAACCATGATTGATTTAAAAAAGCTCAGACAAATTCTGTGTAATGTTCTTAAAGCTTTATTAAACTTGGTAAATAGTAGAATTTGGAATTGGACTACGATTTCTGGTATATTTTACTACATAACACAAAAAGTTATTCATACATCACAGCAGGGTACATCAAAGAAAACAGGCTAGTTTCACTGCTGCAGTGATGTCACATTTTCATCTGAGGTGCATTTAGGCCCCTAGACGTGCAATGGCTTCAGTGTGCATGGCTGTGATGTGGACTGCAAGCACAGCAGGGCAGTGGAAGAAAGGGCAAGGGACAGAGAAGAGAGCAAGGGACTGGAAAGCAATGGCTATGTGGACCTGGGAATCTGCTCCAGTATTGCCCCCAGACTTAGGTTATATTTTTCCTTTTTTTTCCCCGTTTGCTGTGTTTTGGGTTTTTTTCCTAGGTTTTGTTTGTTTGTTTGTTTCGGGTTTTTTTTGTTGTTGTTGGGTTTGGTTTTTTTTGTTTATTTTTCTTTAAGTTTAAACTTGCTGCCCATGCCTTGGCTGGTTTAACCTTTAACTAACCTAGTTATTGAACCAGGGCAGCTGGTAGCATGTAAGGAAGTCAGTATTTCTCCTGTGTTAATTGCCATTTACTGAGGAGTAAACAGAAACTGGTAGGAGGCTGGGCAGCATGCACAGAGGGAGCCTGCACTGGTGCTGTACCCACCAGGACCTCAGCATCTCCTGGTGTTTGTGGCTCTACTGTGCAACCAGCTTCAGTACCTGATTACAAATGCACGCCAAAAAACTCAGGGACCACTGGCCTGGCTGCTTTCTTGCCAGGAGCCTCCTATTCCTTGTATGTGCCACAGAAAGGGAGTGACACGGAGATGTTCAACACCAGGAAAATTCCTGTGCATCTATACAGCATGACTGCAAGGAGCACGGACAAGGTAAGTGGTCAAATACTGCAACGCTGCCATAGCACTGCATATGAAGCTGGGAGATGGTGCTGGCACTGTGGTAATGGCACTATAGTGACAGAGTGAGCAAGCACAGAGTCCCAGGACTGAGCAGTGAGTGGCAAATGCTGCATGAAAACTACACAAACTGGGGAGGCTGGGGCTTGTGGTGAAGGCTATAATTAAAGCTATTCATAAGAAGAAAAATATAAACAAATACTAATTTGATAATTTAAACAACCCAGTCATACTTTTTGACCCTGAAGACACTAAAGACTTTGGAGCTGCCTTGACTTCATGGTTTTGAGCAATGTTCTGTGGGTGTGTGTGCATCAGTGCAATACTGTTTTATAATTGAGATCCTGGCAGCATGTGTCTGCTCTGAAGTACAGTCCCTCTTGTGTAAGTGTACAGTTCCCCCTGTATGTTGGGATTTATTTTTTTTTTTTTGGTGCAATTTGAACAGCACAACCTCCCAAAGTATCCAAACTTGTACAATCATTGCTTTGTGCTGGTCCCCTTTCTATGTAGTTATACCCTGCTATACAACTGAGCTGTCATGTACATCACTGATGAACTCATTCCTACAGTCTTTATATTCTGCAAGTTGTTCCTTAAGTTCTTTATGATCTTTCCCAATCTCCCATCTGATATTTCAGCTCAGGCTCTGTCTCTGGGTTTTACTGTAGCTCTCTCTAGCCATGCAGTATGATACGCAGCAACACTTGCCCTGGGGAATTTGGACAAAATAAATCCTAGTACTGCAAGGGTTGTGTACATTTG